TCGAAACATTCCTTTAAAAACCGACACTTGGGTTATCATCCTCATATTCACTGAGAAAATCAAAATCCACACAATATGCTTCATCTATTCCCTCAGTAAGCGATAGCTTCGAACCAAGAATTAATTTGTTTATAATAAGCGCTGGATAAGATTTTTCAGCTGGTAGAGGTGTCTTTTCTGTAAAGTGTCTGAAATACGCACTTTTGATTTTTTCTGAATGCAAAAAAAGGTATTTTTCTTTGACTACAATGGCATTTAATTCTTTAAAATATTTTATAAATACGTCACCAATAAGGTTCACTTCATTCGTCCAGTCTTGGTAGACCATATTATGGTCTCCAATAAGTACTTTTTCTAAACTGAAACAAGCAGACATATAATACGCAAAGTCTTATAATAGGTCTTTTGCTCCGGAGTATTCATTTTCATATCTTTTTAATTTATCAACTAAAATGACCATTTTTCTGAATCAATAGTTTTCATTTAAGATTGCAAACACTCATTTTCTCTTTGTTAGATAATTTCATTGGCCATTACTACTTCACCTATATTGTTAAATTACTGGTTTATCCTACAGTTGTTTTTAATTGCTTTTTTAATTTTTAATTCCCTTGGAATATACGTGAAGTGCTACATATTGACGCTTCGAAAATTATCTAACCGCCAATATATTTATAAAATAATCACAAAACTGTCTAATATTTTATACAGCGAAATGTTAGCTTTTAAACATATTTTCGGTATTTTTTTCCCTTCCATTTCGGCCGGTTTTTATACTTGAAAACATCTGCAAGTATAATATACCACTTAATTTCCTATAGACCATTAGAACATTGCTTAGGCACATTTTTCTTCATTAAATAATTAGCACTAGTCTGATGTTTCATTAAGAGTATACTTTACTAGGCCTTCTTGAGCCAGCTTTAAATTATTTACGCGTAATAATATATACATCATACTTAAGTACAAACACATTTATTCTATCAACTATTTCCTTTATAAATTCACCTATATTGTTAAAACGTTATGATTACTAAACTGAATTATATATTTAGAAAAACAAATCAAAAGAAACGCTCTGTTATTCCACAGTTTTGGGCTAAATAGGCATGTACGGGAGTGTGCATCCAATAGGGAGACAGGTATTTCTAACAGAATTACTTACCATTTTTTTTCAAAACGTTCATGAATAATACTTCGCAATTAATTGCTAACACAGGTAAATTTCGCATTTATTATCATGAATTCTGTAAATAAGAAAACCACGTATCCATAATTATAACTTTTAGTGAATGATGCTGCGTGACATAAGAAATGTTTTTTAATTTATCCTGACTGTAGAATTTGTTGCTATTAAAAACAATCTAAGCTTTGTTCTTAAGTTCTTATTGTTTTTATATGGGTCATTCAGTAAGCAAAGTAACTCTGCGGTTTTAAATATAATTGAAAGACGTAATGCCACGTGGCTTGAGGAAAGCTTCCTGTTTTGCCAGAACAGGATTATCTTTACAAATTATAAACAATAACGCCTGAAATAGCTCTAAGTTGTTAATAAGATTATCTGTCTATTTTCAGTTTGGTTTCAAAACAAAGACTTCACCGACCGCAGCTTAGCGCTATTGTGCAATAAAAATAAACTTAGAAACGTTTTTATCTCCTGCTTGCGAATTATCAAAAAAAAAAAAAAAAAAAAAAAACTTAGAGCTATTTAGTTATTTGATATACTTCGGACTTGAAAAAAAAATAATGAATCCTTGAACAAAAATAATTTAAGAATATGTAAACACGAAATTAAATAAGATATTTCTAAATGGTTTTTACTGGATCACGGATTGTTCAAATATGCTTTTTAAATCAAGACATGTTTCATTTGCAGTTTTTTACAATAATTCAGGATTTTCCGGACTGATTCCGGACGCCTGATAACCCTGTTAAGGAAGTATAAAAAATGTCAGCAGGAGACATCGAGAACTGTTTGTTTCATTAGTATAATTCACCAAATTACATGTTTTATCGAATGATATTCACACTAACTTCTCATCCCGCTTACTTTCCAGATTTGGCCTTTTCTGATTTTATTACTTTTCCTGAAATAAAAATTAATGGTATATGCTTTGATACCACAAAGGTATTCAAACCAAATTACGGTGAATGATAGATTAAATATTTCAAACAGCATTCCATACCATTTCAAAGAGCATGATGCAAGTGCCGTAACTGATGTATGAATGCAGAAGGAGAGTTTTTTTTTAATGTGTAAAGACCAGACTTAAGTCATATAAGGGTTCAAAGTCTAGTTGGTTGTGTCCAGTTCTTTTTAATCAACATAATACTTCAAGTGACAGTGCGACACATAATGTTATTGTCCGATTATGACTTTCTGAATAATATTAAAATAGATTATTATGCAACGAGGGAGGTCTCTGGGTCGATCGTACCTGAAACGCTGGGAAGAATATCAAACAGGGCTTAAAAGTGCAGTAACTTGTGTGTCCAACTCGAAGTAAGAAAAATGAGCATTTTGGACCAAATAGCCATACGACTCTCATTATGATAATTAAATTACTTTATTCTGATCAATTATGATGTTAATTAAATTATGATGCTGTATGCCATACTGTTGGGTCCGGCTTTTAATCCTCGAGAAAGCTGGATGTTTCCAAATGCCCGTGTCTTTGCGACACGGGTGCACTAAAATAGTGTCGAGCCAAAAGTCCACTCGAGAATTGACGATAGAAGATGAGAGGAGACATTTGAAACATTTGAACTAATATCTTGAGGTATTCTTCATCAAAACTGGAATGGGGTTGGAAACGTTCTGACCACAACCTGTAACGGTCACAAATCATTTGCCAAAGACAAGGCGACCCTCTGTTTTTTCGCCGTGATGAAATCGAGAAATTTATCTGAATTACTTTCATATCTAGAAGATTAATAGACAAAGTTATATGAGCTTATAACTAGCTAAAGAAACTTTCTGGATATTTTGTACATAAAATTTAATTTAATCTATGATAAAGCAATTTAATACAGAGCAATTAAGCATATAAGGACAAATTTGTAACATTGCAAAGTAATTACTGCTCCAATACTCACAAAATCTCTAAGATTTAAAACAAATTCTGATCTGAGTATTTCTAATTACAGCGTAGCATTTTGATTCCAGATGGTGACTTCTGGATTTTTTTATTTGCGATGGCGAACATTGTGAGCTCGGTAGGTTAAAATTCGGAAAAACCCTAGCTTTACTCTTATACCGTGCCAAATATAGAATCATCCATCTGCCAAAAATGCACTCGAATATATAGAGTTAAGCGCAGCACATATTGACAATGACGACATATTGACAATATTTTTGTATTATGCAATTTTTTGTTTCCGTCGACAATTTTGGAAATGCCTGAAGTGTATCATCCAAAATGGGTTCGCGTGTCATAGATTCACCGTCACTGACCTATATCTTTAATTCCTCAAGATTAATTCTTAAACTAGTTGGTTAATCGTAATCATTTCCTCGTAACTTAAAATTGTTTTAAACATTAAACAAATAGCATTGAGGCTCACAGTTTTAAACATTTCCGATTAGCCTGTTAGTTTAAGAATTAATCTCCAGAAACAGGTATAATTCAGTCGCCGAGGTATATTCTGAGCAACGTTCTGCGGTGATTAGATAGTTAAACGACCGATGGACATTGCCCATTAAACGTCCAGCTATTTGGAAAACGAGCGTTTAAAAATTCGCAGTGCCAAAAATGGAAGGAAAAATATTGGTATGTTTTATATCATCATAAATTATAATTGTAAGGAGATTTATGCGCAAATGTATTACATTTGGTCGCTTGCGAACCGTATTCGGAACAAATATTTCACTTTACTAGCAATACTTTTTCTTTTCCCTGAACATGAAATCTGTTTACGGGTAACTATAAACAACTTTTCAAAATATTTAACAGATTTCCAAACTAATTTATAATAATATGTACAGCCTAATGATTCGACTGATTGACCTTGAAATGCAGATGTAAGTTATTCATGCATATGTTCCTTAAAAGTACCATCGAAATTCTGCTAGAGGAAAGAGAATGAAAATAAATGGTCTTAAACAACAAGTTATAAATAAAATATATGACACATGAAATGAATTCAAGTATACTTCTACGAATTTTAAATTTTAGCTCAGTGAGAAATCTTTTTACTTCCTTGTAAAATAAAAGAAGCATTGTAATCGCGAAAAATTTCAGGTATCATAGTTACACACACATATATATACATATATATATATATACTTGTATCTATATAACGTACATATATTCCCCCTCTGTAACACGGCTTGGTGAGCTTAGGTTTTTATTCTTATATGTTGGTAAATTGTGTATTTTTTCTTTAAAAATGATTGAATTGTGTTGTTCTTATGTTCCGTTTATGGTTTTTATGCCTTAAATTAATCTGCATGCAATAGTTGTAGAATTATCAACAATTTAAGAGTTTTAAGTGGCGCTAAACCTAACCATGCCACCATTTATTTACATTTGAAACTCTTAGTAGAATAGTAAATTAAGTCATTAGTACACCAACTTCAGTGTCTTTTTACCAGTGTAACAAAAAAATTAACTTTCAGTTTTTTTCACCGAAAATGTTCTCTTCCTTCCAGCTGGCCGAATCGCTTGTTTTTGTGTAGAAATTCTGATTTAATTGTAAAAAGTGGTTTTTTTAACTATTTTTAGTGTTTTCGATTTTATTATTATTATTATTATTATTTTGCAGCTTTTAACGAACATTGAGTTTTTATGTATTTTTGCCTTATTGCGAAGTAGGAACTGAATTGATTGAGTTAGAAATGTATCTCTAATGAAATTAGAGGAAATATGTTTAAATGAAGTGCAGCAGAAAATGTGTGTAATTTATTAGGCCGTACAAGGCAGTCACGTGGTGTCCACATCAAATTTCTTTATAGAAATAAAGACATAGCGAGTTAATTCTTTTTAATCTTCTCGTTTCAGAGAATCCACAAGAACCTGCCTATCGAGTGGAAAGTGGAGCGGAGAAATTCCCAGTTGTGGTAAGTGTTCTTCATTATATATTTTGTGAGTTTTTTCTACTTTTCCTACGTATGTTAACATATTCTACCTGAGCCTATTTTGTTCTTATGTTACATAAATCCTTCCAAGCAATGAAAACCTGATAAAAGGCGAAATTGACAAGTTATTCAACATTTTCAAGCTCATAAGTATTTCTAGCTGAAATATTTTTAGAAACTAGCCCATGTGTACTTTACTTATGGTAGTAATGAAGTCATTTATTTATGCAGGCATTTTACCTCACTTTAAATTTAGAAGCGCATAAGATTTTCAACTTTACATTTTTATTTTTCTTCGGGATTTCATCGTAGCTTAGTTTCTACATTTATACCTTTGCAAAAGAACACCAGACTAATCCTCGTAACGAACATTGCAGATAAGACTGGTGAGCTCATGTAACGGTTGTCCAGTTTTTTTCCTTTCCTTTTAGAAGAAAAGTGTTCTCTTAATGATTTTCCTTTTGTTGCGCATCAAACTACCTGATCCATTAATTATTTTGGAGTAGTTCCTAATGAAATTAGATGTATCTCCTCGATTTGGAAATTCTTCTGGTTTGTTCGTGCTCATTATAGAGAAATTGCAAAAAAAATTAAGGAAGGAAGTTTCGACTCTAAAAAAAATTTCTCATTAACGGGGATAGGTGGCAACATGCGTCGGATCATTAACAGTGCACGGAGTTACTAACAAAAGAATCTGTCGTATTAAGTCATGCTTACGTATTTCCATTTCAACTTTGAAAAAGGAAAGATGGACTATGAAGAGAAGCACATTCAAGTGAGTGTGATAATCATAGAAAAAAAAAGAAAGTGTTTATAGAAAACCTTTATATCAGTTTAAAGTAGACTCCACAATGAAAATGAGAACTCTTAAATGCTGTCTTGTCCATGAATTTCCTGGTTGTCAAAGTCTCAAGGAAGTTGGGCTTCTGTTTCCACCTCAGTTTCGAGGAACAGTATCTTTCACCCCTCTGCCCTTCCTCCAAACCACACGAGAGGTCTTTCGGCTCGCCATATATTTTGAGCGCCCCCATACCGCAAAGACACTATACATTTACAAACATCCATATCTTCTCTGAGATTCGAACCCGGACCCTTAGACACCGCAGTAGGCTCCCCTTAGCACTGTACCGTCTGGGCGGCAATGATAACTGTAATGTGTAAGGATATCACCTCGACATGATTACTCTAGAGTCTAGAGTAAAGAGTGGTTTCTCAATTCAGTTATATCTAACTCTTCCTTATCTGCATATTTTAGGAAACATGGTATATAGTCATATTATATTTGACCTGATATAATCACATTTCACCCTTTGATATATGAATAAAATTATTAGCCGACTAAAATACTTCATGATTTCAATTATCTGGCTTAATTTATTCCTATTTTTAATGAATAAATATGTAGAACCATTAAGTTATTTTGAAGGAGAAGACGTGATAATCTGCAATTCCTCGTCCGGACTCGAATTCAGGACCTCGACTATGCATCGAGAATGCTCATGCGGAAAGGAGAGAGAAAATACCTTATAAGGATCTTAACTCGATATTTCTGAGTACAGGTGAAGATCAGCACCCGAACGCCGAAAATTTTACCGAAATTTTCGGTGGGAATTTTGCCAGCAAACGAATGGCGCTGCCTCAGGCTCGTACTCTGTGACACACACTTGCATTTATCTCAAATATAAAGAATATTTTACGAATGCTGAATGTTCTCTTTTGAGTACGATATGCTAATAACACATTAGTTCTTTGTAATAAGCTTAGCCTATTTATGACGTCCTGAATTTTCTTTGCGCTAGCAACACTCATAACCGAAAAAATTTAATTTACTTTTGAAGTTGAACTCTCGACTATTCTCTTCATTTCTTGGATGTTTATTGAGATTTTCAAAACCCCGACAATTTAAGTTAGTTCATCAGCCCGACAATAGATGAAAAGAATGGTCTTCTGGAACCACTAAACCAGTTGTCGGATCGAATGCTCCTTTTTTGTTCACAACTTTTCGTGTTGCTTTTCCGCATACTTTCGTTTACATATAATTTCATTTCGTGGCCATTTACGCATATTCGATTGTGAGATAATATACCTTTATTTGGAAAAACAATACATCTTCCTCATTTCTTGGTAAATTAAAAATTGGCAACTTTTTTTTAATGATGCTTTAAATGAAAAAATAATATTACGATATCGGGCGGTTCGTCAAATTCGACAAATAGAATTTGAAAGCGAAAGCATCTTTTCTTTCACGTAATTTGACGGTTAATCGTGGGGGACATGAAAATCAAGTAGTAAAGTTAATTGTTTGCTATCTGTTTTGTTGTTTCCTTGCTACCAAGTGTTCTATCTATTCATCCATATAACCAAAAAACAGTGGCCTTTTACCTTTTTATACATCTCGTAATTCATTTATACTCCACTTCTGCCACTTTGGGAAATGAGCTTAAGATTCTGAAAGGTCTTACTTCCTGTGTGTATCCTTTTACCATTATCGGCATGACGTATAAGTAAATTTCCAGGTTTTTAGTACTTAGGGTTTTCAAAGTAAGAATACTTAGTTGCATTTGTCTGCCTTTCATAAATTCGGTCCTTTATTTTCTTAAATGATGCAAACGTATGATCTTCGGGTTTCCTTTAAACGTGTCGGTAAGGTTTTTCAATTGTAAAGGTCGGAGTCCAGGACATTCATTCATGGTTCCTTTTTAAAACTTCCTTGTGGATCCAGTTTTGCGTATACAGGACAAAGTCGTAGACCTTTAAAATTCAGGATAAGTGAGCTCATACGGTATGTTAAAAAGAAGAAAATGCAAAAGTATTCAATAGCTTCGCACCGTTGGAATAAAAATTGTAAATTTAATTTTCGGAGACCAAAATCATTCTGCGTTCATTACCTTCTCATTTCGGATTTCTTAGATGCTTCCAAAAGTCTACTATGTAACAATCTCGTAAATGGCATAGCTTATCACATGATTCTGCGCTCACCATTCTCATCCGTCTTATTTGATTACATCTACCCAGAATATACTTGCATGCAAAATGGACTAGACGGGTTTGCTTGACTAGCTGCATTTTATTATGTTCATTTCTTGCTTAGCAGGTGGTTTCAAATCAAAACGCCTATTTTTAATCTTGTTGTTGTTGTTTCTGTTCTCTGTATTCCACAATGGATAACTGAAACTACAGGTACGACGACATGGTTATTAGATTAAAGAAACGCAATAGAAGTTTAACTCTTAAATTTTATAAAATTTAAAATGGATAACTGAAATCGGGAATATGGGGCTACATTTAGAGCAAAAAGCTTGGAAAAAGGTTTGTTGAAAATAAATGGTTTGTTGAAGCTATTAAAATATTAGGCGCAATGTAAAAAAAAATTAACATTGCTTGACCAATGATTCCAAAAACCTGTAGATCCTTTCACACAGTGGTTAAATAAAGACTCTTTTTTGTTTGTGTCAGTGTGCAGGAATGTTAAGCAGGTAAACAAATTTGTAAATATTCTATGCATGCACTTTAATTAACAATACGTACTGAAACTCATTGCCTAATATATATATTTTCCCCAATTTTTAGCCGTGAATGTGGCATATGGCAAGCCAGCCAACCAGTCAAGCACCGTTAGAGGAGGCGAAGCCAGTCATGGTAACGACGGAGACCTAACAACAGTGCACGAAAACAAATACTGCACAGAAACCAAAGCGGAGGACTCACCCTGGTGGCAGGTGGACTTGCTGCACGCCTATCCTGTCCGGGTTGTTCGTATAGTTACAAGAGGGTGTTGTGGTAAGTCACGTTTTTGCGTGCTTCGTATAACTATACATGTAAATTCCATCTGCATATTTGACATTAAAATTGACAGCGAAAGAGAAGGGGAAAAAATTAAATTATTCAAACTGGTCTTACATTATTCTGTTGCAGGTGGCCAAGGGCCGTAAATGGTCACTTAGCATTGAAATATTAATTTGCTTACACACAGTACGTATGTATAATTAAGCCTTTGAAGTTATAAAAAAATTGGATCTTGATTTTTTTTAAACATCACATCTTTTTCTTGGATACCCAAGGATGCCAAGAAACAATTTTTGTTCAAATCAGGCTTCTTGTATATGCGTTGCACGCATAATTTTACTATGCACTTTCCAATTAGTATCTTACTTTCTTTATAGTTTATTCTATTTGTTCTTCTCGGAACCAATAAAAACTCATTTTCCTTTACCAGTAAGAATTAAAATGCTTTTTTAAGCATTAAAACTCCGAAATTTTTATTTAGTCCTTTAAACCGCAGCAGTAACCTTTTCCTTTGTAGTAATAAGCTGTGAGTGACTTTTAATAAAAGACTACGTTTTGTAGTGATTGTAACACATCGTTATAACAAGCATTACAACAAGTTGAATCTTAGTTGCAATATATGAAAAATGTGATTATCTCAACTTGTTGAAAATGCAAAAATATGAAACGGAACATATACGTTTAAAGAATCTTATGCTTTGAGGGGAAAAAAGTGAAAATATATCGCGAATTAGTATAGAGATGGAATGTTTTTGGAATTAATTTATCCGGTCAAAAGTATTTCGCGTGATAACAAACTAGAAATCTGCACTATAAAAATGCACAATTTTAGTTAAAATATCTGTAAAAATCCCATGCCAGAAAAGGCTCTCTTTTATAATTCAATAATTCTATGATAACAGACATTTGCTAATACGTATGTACTCGTGAATAGTAAATTATTTCAGAGCTTTGAAATGAATAAATATCAATTCTATTGTAACCATCCCTTATGCAAATAACTTCATTTATTTGAGCCCCCGATTCTCTAGCGAATCGAAAAAAAAAAAAAAAAAAAAAAAACGAATGCGTGAAACTCCTTACGATATGAATTGTATGGGAATGAGAATTAAAAAGTGAAGAATAAATTCAACTTTAAAGTTGTATGTTTTGAGACTTGGCAATAAGATTAAACGAAATTTAAAAATAAATAAGTAATCTCTACATATAACAAAAGAAAGAGTCTGTCTGTGTATGTGTGTCTTTCGTTTCGCTGCGTGTAAGCTAATAGACTCAGGGCTACGAAATTTGGTGCAAAGGTGCATCTAGACAAAAACCAGTGCACCTCGAAGCGAGTGTTTTCAAAACTCGAATCAGATTTTTTTTCATTTTATCTTTTTTGATGAGCTCGCATCATTTTGAATAGTTTCATTCTTTTAGAAATGTGATTTTGGCAACAGTTTTTCATTCAATGCTTTGTATACTGCTGCCTGTTGATAATATGAGATAAAATACTTATTGCTTATTTCACTGTTTTTAAGATACTGAAATGTTTAGCATGACTTTTTTTTTTTTTTTTTTTTTTTTTTTTTTTTTTCAACGGGAAGTTGTTTAATTTATTTATTAGAATAATTAGTATTTGTATTAAGGGATACATTGCTTATTTCATGCTGATAATTTTCTTTTGATTTTTGGATACTCAACACGCGCATCGCAATCTTCTTATTCTGACGCGCATGTGTCTCGCGAAGCACAACGGAAAGAATTTCCTTTTCTCTCTCTCTCTCTTTATTAGCTAATGGCAAAGAGGTTTGTATATTTTGAATTATGTCATCCATAAAGCATAATTTTGATTGGTTATTGCTTTCTGATGATAGTTTCACTCTTTTAGAAATGTGGATTTGGCAACAGTTTTTCATTTATTGCTTTGGATACTGGACTGCTGACTGTTTTCTTTTGAAAATATGAGATTTATTGCTTATTTCATTGTATTTTTTATATTACGTTTTAATTATACATAATTTTAGTTAAATAAAAAGTTTTGCGTGAATTTTTTTTTTTTTTTTTTTTTTTTTTTTTTTTAGGATAAAATTCTTCCTTTATACCATTTGAATTCTTAAGATTTTGCTGCAACGGGAAGTTGGTTAATTTATTTACTAGGATAATTAGTATTTATATTAAGGGATATTGCTTATTTCATTATATATATATATATAAAGTTGTTCTGCAGAGTAAAATTTTGTGCAGGTTTTAAATTTAATGTTTGCTGTAAGGTACGTTTAAAAGCCAGACGAAGGCTGGCCGCGTAGCGGCTAGTTTTAAATAAAGATTAAACGAAGATAGTTCAAATATTTTGCCTTTTTGTTTTATAACATATAACATAATTCAGACTTTACGCACAATAATAAGTTAACGAGATAAAACATGAAATTAATTAAAAACTTCACTGCACACATTGTTTCACTTAAAAGCCTGTACTAAAGGCCCGGGTTCGAACCCGGAGAAGGCATGGATGTTTATAAAAGTATAGTGTCTGTGCGGCATGGGGGCCCTCTAAATATTGAAGGAACCGAAAGTCCTCTCTAATGGTTGGTAACAGGGGAAAAGGGGTCAAAGACCCTCGGACCTGTCACTCCGAGGTACTTTTCTTCAAAATTGGGGGCGGAACTGTCTTACTGTCATCTGTATGGTGCTCACGGCTTTTGCTAACGAATGAGAAACCATGAAATTTGTGGGCTTTCTCTGATATAAGACAAGAGAGATTGGTCACAACAACAAAAGAAGTATCCTTCTTAGTGTACTTAGCGCTTAAAATCTTTTAACCAAAATGTAATATTTATTCAGAGATTCAGGACTACCATTTTGTCAGCGTAACAGAATGCAATTAAAAATTAAAGTCAAAATATTTGCTAAAATCATATTCTGAACTGAAAAAAACTATTAATAACTGATCAAATGTAACGCAGTCCAACTAAAAGAAAATTAGCCTTTCGTGTGGACATTTTGACATCTCAAAAGTATTTGTCAAATGAGCCACTAGGAAATAACCTCGAAAAACAAAATGCTGAACGCTTTAGTATTCTCACTTTAAATAGCTTAAAAGTAATCATCAACAATAACCTCGAAACATAAAATACACTAAACAACTTCAGGAATCCGCTGGGCTGTCAATCTTGCATCTAAAGCCATGACTAGCAACAGGGCGTTGTCCACTCAATCAACAATCATCCATAAACAGTTAGGGCAATCCAGTCGCTAGTCGCAAATTTAAATTCGTTAATGTGACCTACTGTCCTTAATTATAAAACGAAATTTTCACTGTTTAGAGAATTTTATTTCGGATACGAAAAGCAAAGAGTATATCTAACCAAAATAATAGCTGTTAATTAATAATAATGATTAATTAATAATGATAGTTTCATAATCCAACAGCAAACTTTTTTTAAGTCGTTGTCGTTCATTTCGATAAGCAACAGAAACTGAGCAGCGATTGAAGATGACTATCAGCTGTATAAAAGATTTCTCAAGTACTCATACTCCACCAAAAAAATTAATCATGGGGAAAACTGAAAAATAAAAAGAATAAAGGAAGAGAATTATAAAAAACAAAAAATCTGATCTGGACACCGCGACTTCCTTGTACGGCCTATGAAATTATCACACGTTTTTGCTACACTTCATTCTAACTTATCTTCTCCAATTTCATTAGAGATATATTTCTCATTCAATCAGTTCAGCTCTCGCTTCACGGCAAGGCAAAAATACATAAAATTCAAATCACCTTCATTAAAAATTGTAAAATACAGAAAACCCTAAAACACCAAATACGGTTAAAAACAATTAAAAACAATTTTTACAATTAAAATTAGTTTGTACGCAAAAACAAGCGATTCCGCCAATGGACTGAAAGACCAAAATTTTGGTTGCACAAAAGTGAAAGCTAACTTGGGGCCCCACTGAACCAATTTGAATATGGTGCACGAACTCACTTAATTTTGAATGCAGATTAAAGGCATAAAACCTTAACCGAAACGTAAGAACAACATAATTCAATCAATTTTAAAGCAAAAAATGTACAGTTTATCAACAAATAAGAGTAAAAAAACAAAGTTCATCGAGCCGATATTTGGTGAGGTCTATTGCAACGAAAAAGGGAGGTGTACAGCTACATTAGCTGTCTCATATACAAAATTTCAACTTTCTGGATCTACTCGTTTTTTGAGTTATGCGAGATATGTATACGCACATACAGATGTGAAGAAAAAAATTCCGTTTGAATTCCTTTTAGAATCCGTTTTGGAAAACGACTCCTTTATTCTGTCTATACGTAGAGATGTCAAGCAAAAATAATCGTCCAAAGATCCAGAGAACGATCAAAATGGATATTTCAGTTGAAATACGATACCCGAAATTTTTCGTGATTACAAGGCTTTGCTTTCATACAAAGAGGTAATACGTTTTGTTAAAAAAAAAGGAGAGCTGAAGAGTAAAATGATATCCTTATAATATAAGCCTTTATATTCTCATATTTTGCAAAATAAGTATTTCTCCCGCCTTCCTCGTGGTATAAGAGCCAGCACACTGGGCCGGTATTCTAGAGGTCCGCGGTTCCAAAAAATACCTAATGTCTCTACAGTGGCGCCCGAACTAAAAGGGTGTTGGATGATAATTCTTCGCTCCCAGGATTTGGCGATTGGTCCTCTAATCCCCAGTCGCCCTTTAAAGGGGGAGTATATAAAGTATGTCTCCCGCCTTCCTAGCATGCGTTCGTGGTGTAGTGGCCAGCATACTAGCCCGGTATTCCAGAGGTCCGTGGTTCGATTCCCAGCGAAGGCGGTTGCTCATTTTTCATCTCTCCGGCTTTTCCAATTAACCTAATGTCTCTACAGCGGCACTCGAACTAAAAAGGATGTTGGATGATGATTCTCCTCACACAGAATTTGGCGATTGAGTCCCCTAAAAACCCAGTCGCCTTTTAAAAGGAGGAGTATATGAGGTATTTCTCCCACCTTCCT